ATCTCGTCGTTGCTTAATTATAATTTCTTTGCAGTGTTGAAGCCATATGTTCATCGCTACTTCACACAGTACCAAATCTGCTGCCATGTTTTCTATTTGGATTTTCTTTCATTTTCTTTTCTCTTTTGGAAATGGGAATTCCCCCCTTTTTTTGGAAATGGGAATTCCAACCCCAAGTGGCTGGCATGAGGGTTTTTTGATCTTTTTTCTTTGATTTTAGACAACTTTTTTTTAAGGGTAAATTACACTTGCCTCCCTGAGCTTTGAAGAAAAATACAATCATTTCTACACTTTTGACATAATGACAGTAACTTAAAACGGTCGAAATTAATACAGACAATGGGCAAATACTCAAATCAAGGAGGATAGATATTAATTGTAGTAGAAAAAGAAGATGATAACACTATTTTTTTATTTATATGCCTAACGAACGATTGATGAAAAATTACTTAACAATTTTGTGAATGAAAACATCAAGGGAGACGAATGTAATTACGTCAAAAGTGTGGGGCTCACTATATTTTCTCTAAACCTGAGGGGAGGCTAGTGTAATTTACCCTTTTTTAATTCCTTGTTGGGTTAGACTTCTTTCAAGGTCAAATATGACCTTAAGAGAACTATTCGGGCCTATAGGGCCGCAACCATTCTTGTTTTTTATTTATGATTTGAACCATTTCTTTTGTAGGGATCTTTGTGTATATCATCATGAAAAAAAATTAAGTTATAAAAATTTTATGGGCACTCGGGCCATAAGTCCAATTTCAAAACTAATGAATCCTTATTATAAAAAAAAAAGGGTAAAAATAGTAATTTGTTGTAGAAAAAATAGTAATTTGTAGTAAAAATAGTAATTCATTTCGGCAACTGGCTACCCAACAATCTGATGGCAGTAGGGTAAAAATTGGGAAAAAAATCATTCAAAATAGTAATTTGCCCCTCTCATGAAACAATTTCATTAATAATGTCCTTATTATAAAAAAAGATTGATCCTTAGATCTAATGTCATATCCTCCTATAAAAATGGACTTATCACCAATAAATCCTTATTTTATTACATTTGTCTCGAAAAAAGTAGATGGTTTATTTTAAAAAACACACCTGCCTTCCATTTTTTTGGAGACAGATGTCATAAAATGAAAAATTACGATTATCTGATGGATCTAATTTTTTGTAATAGATGACATATACGGAAGGTCTTACAAAATAAACGGTTTAGATCATTGAAACGGTATCCATAATGGGCACCATGGGCCCAAACAGTTCACTCAAGTTCAAATTTAAATTTGAGAGAAGCCCAACACTTGTTTTTATTAGACTTTTGTCAAATTTGATCCATTTTTTAATTTTTAGGGTTATGAAAGGTAAAAAGAGTAGTAAAAATTCATCAGATGACAACTTGACAAATAAATTTTTTCTTTCTACTCTCGTGATATACATATATAGATGTATGTGTATACTTACTGGTTTTAGCATGAAAACAATGAAGGGCTGTTCGAAGTGATGATGTTTCCCTGAAAATTACCCATTGTGGAGTGTGTTATGCTGATGTTGTATGGACAAAGAATAAATTTGGAGACTCAAAGTATCCCGTAGTGCCAGGGTATGTGCTTCATTCTCTCTCATGTCAGATTATGTATCTGCAGAGGGTCATTTCATACGCCTCTCATGAATTGATGTATATGCAACGCATTGTTTTTTTTTTCAAAAAAAAAAATAATAATAATAAAAACAGACATGAGATTGCTGGAATTGTTCAAGAGGTTGGTTCTAATGTTCATCACTTCAAAGTTGGAGACCATGTTGGAGTGGGAACATATATCGATTCCTGCAGAGATTGTGAGTATTGTGGTATGTATATGGATGTCTACTGCTCCAAGGGAGCTGTCTCTACTTTCAACTCTATTGATGCAGATGGTATGGTCACAAAGGGTGGATATTCTAGTTACATTGTTGTTCATGAAAGGTAAGCTTGTTTTCTTCCCTTTTTTAACAATCTGTAGTGAGAAATAGAAAAAATGAGAAAGTTGCATAGCATGTGGTAGTGGCCCAAGGAATCTTGAGAGCCCATACAAGACATAAACTAAGGTCTTAGGCCCTGGGGTTTTGAACAATCAGGGCCTTCGACCTAAAGATTTATTTTTGTGTGGGTTTTTTTTTGGCTCGTCTTGAGTTACCTTATGGTTTAGCCTCCTCTTGCTGTGAGAATTGAATTTGGGCATTATTTATGCCTGGTAAGAGAGTGCCTCATCCAACAGGTTTATGGTACCCCTTGATCTGTCTGCTCATTCTCTATATTTTCTACAATTCAATAAAAAGTGCATGTTGGAATGAATGATTGAGTTAGCATCTACTTGCCTCTGTGGGCGGAGCTGTAGCTAATGTAGTGGTGTCAATTGACACCACTGCAATTCCAAGAATGTTTAGAGTACATGTGAAATTTTATTCAAATTTCTGGATTTTAACAAATTGAACTCAGTTGACATAGGAAACAAAAAATTAATTTTGTAGTTTACAAATTGGTTCAATATAGTTAAAAATAATAATCGAAGTTATACAAATTTTTTAATATTTTAGAAGCAAAAAACTATGCAAACTAATAAATTTTACAAAATTTTCTTACTAATTGATATATCATGCAATGATAAATTTTAAAATCTAAAAGGTGCCACATCAGTGAGTAAAAAAAAAATAATGACATATCTTGACTTTTTTATTGAAGAGATGGTATTAATGTTCCAATATTTTGTTTTTGCTTACAATTTGACTAGTTTGAATTAATTTTGTCAATATGATTGGAAAGATATAAAATTTGTATGGTTAGTATAATCTGATCTTTAATATTGATAGCTTGTGTAGAGCCAAAAATATGATATGATGACTTGCTAAATTATCCCACTTATTGTAATTTGTGGCTACGCCGCTGCTTGCCTCCTTATGGATGGCATTGTTGGCAAACAAGGCAGGTAATGTGAATGTGCCCTGCTTCTCTTTTATGATATCAAAATAGACATTTGCAATTTGGCCATGAATGCATGGATATATGAGAGTGTATAACAAACAAATACAACCAAAAAAAATTGAGCAAATTATTTATCGTTGGACTAAACATTATTCTTGTGTTGATGCTTGTAAAATTACAGGTACTGCTTTAGGATACCTAATGACTTACCGTTGGCCTTAGCAGCACCACTGCTATGTGCGGGAATCACTGTTTATAGTCCCATGATTCGCCATAAAATGAATCAGCCGGGTAAATCTCTTGGGGTTATCGGTCTAGGTGGCCTTGGTCACTTGGCAGTGAAGTTTGGGAAGGCTTTCGGATTGAGTGTTACAGTTTTCAGCACCAGTATATCTAAGAAAGACGAAGCCCTAAACAAGCTTGGAGCAGATAATTTTGTGATCTCGTCTGACGAAGAACAGATGAAGGTAAAGGCCACGAGCATTTCTCCTCCATGATATGTTTTGTTTGTCACACAAGCTCGCAGCTTAGCAAAAAAGTGGGAATTATAGCGATGAAAGTTTCCATAATTGACAATCATCATTTTAATTTCATGCAGGCCATGGCTAATTCACTCAACTTTATTATCGACTCAGCATCGGGGGATCACCCAATTGATCAGTACATGCCACTGTTGAAAACCAGTGGCTCCTTCGTCCTGGTTGGTGTCCCAAGTGAAATCAAGGTCCATCCTATAAGTCTGATAATGGGTATGTATTTTCATCACATAGTTCTTGAAAATTGAAAATTAAGAGAATAATAGGCATTGTGATTTTCTGAGAAAAGTAATTCTCCGCCAATGAGAACTCAAACATAAACATGTTTCTTTGGCAGGTATGAAAACCATATCCGGGAGCGGGACGGGGGGAACGAAAGAGACACAAGAGATGTTGGATTTTTGTGCAACTCAGAAGATATACCCAGAGATTGAAATAATTCCTATTGAGTATATAAATGAAGCTTTAGAGCGGATGATAAAGAGGGATGTGAAGTACCGATTTGTTATTGATATAGGGAACTCTTTGAAATGAAACAAGGGAAGAAAAATAAAAAATTAATCAATAGTCGTGATATTAGTGAAGATAGAAGTGACTAGAGGACTAAATAAAGGGTGAGAGAAGTGATGATCTTCTTGATGTGTTGTGGTACTACATATTTGTTTTTTTAAATTATGTTTGGATTGTGGTGTTTTAGATTATGGATTTGTGAAAAAAATTTGTAGCGGGAAGGAAAGAAAAGAAGAAAAAAAAAATACATAAAAAATAAAAAAAAAAAAATCACATAAATGGGATTTGGGTCAGGCCCAGCTATCAACTGCTCTAAGCACTACTATTATCATTGATTTCCAATTAGTTTTTTCATTTCTTACGTATTTGAGATTTTCCAAAAAAGTAAAGTGAGCCTCTGAAATGGAAATATTTCAAAGAAGTATATAAATAATGTACATAAAACACGGTTTTTTGAAAGCCCAAGAGAACTAAAATAGTATACGTACAAATAATGTACATACAACATGGTTTTCCAAAATATCATGTGGTTATCATCAAACTTGTAACGGATATTTTCATCTAGCATCTACACATTACAAAAAGGCTTAATTACATAACAGTTTTCTCAATTGTTTGCAAATATTACTTTATTTTCTTATTTATGAATTCGTATACATTAACTCATTTAATTATGAAAATTATATAAATATATCATTTTTTAGATGGTTTAAAGGCAAATATTTTTATAGTTGAGAGACAAATATACAAATTCACATATGATGGGAGTAGAGTGATTTTACTAATAGTTGAAAACCTCTTGATGTAATTAACCTTACAAAAATATTACAAATCAATTACATTTTTTAAGCTATTTCTAACTAGAAAAACAGGTAACTATCCTAAGGTGTTGTTTGTTTAATTAGTTAATCAAGTTTTTTTGCTAAATTAGTCACAAAAAATCAAAATAGATTAAAAATCTAATAAGATAAAATATCATATCTAAATCATAATCATTTTATTTTTTTTTTATAAAAGTCAAAAAAGTCAACTCAAACAAATTTTTTAACTTGAATAAAATGTCTAAAAATTCAAAAAAATCAACCAAACTTTCCAACCAAATCCTAAGACTAACGCTATGTTTAGTTGGGAGATTTGGGAAAGGATTTGAAAAGAGAAAGGAAAAAAATGTGTGAAACTAGATAAAATAGATATATTTTATTCATATTTCACTTGTCTTTTCCTTTTTCCTTTCTAAATCCATTCCTAAATTGTACAACCAAACATACATAAAGGAAAATAATTTGTAGGTTAGACCACCAGGTTGTATTTGATCTTGACCAATTATAAGCGGCTAGTTTTCACTTACCCTTTTTTTGGGTACATCAGAAATAAAACATAGTGCGAACAAAAATGATCCGTAGCTCGAAGGTTTCGGGCTCGAATGGCTCGAAAGTTTAAATTTCTCTCTCCTCTCGATCTCTTCCCCTCTCCGCCTCTGCAGTTCACTCTCGCCTCTCTCACCTCTCTCACTCTCAACAAACCTCTCTTTCACTCTCGCCTTATCCCTCTCTCCTCTCTATCTCTTCACTCTCACCTCTTGCCTCTCTCACCTGTCTCTTGAAGGAGTTCGAAGGACGACGAAACGGTGGACGAACGATAGCGGAGGCAGACGAACCACGACGGAGGAAGGAGGACGACGAACCACGACGAAGGACGAACGAGAGCCGGCGACAGCGAATCTGAGGTAAACCTGAAATCGCAAAGTTAGGGTTTACGTTTGGCTTCAATTTTTGTAGAAATTAGTCGATTGGGAGTGTTTGGGGTTGGATTTTGTTTGCTATTTGTGTTAGGGTTTGGGATTTGGCTTTAATTTGTGATATGTTAGGGTTTGGGATTTACCTTTATACTTGTGATCAAGAATGAACTCTGTGTTCACATTTTGCACACTGTGTATGTTGAAAAATTGAAATTTAAATGACTTCTCAATTTATACCTGGGATTTGCCTTTATACCTGCATATGACTTCTCAGTTTTTTGATTTAAGTGTGCCTTTATACTTGCCTTTATACCTGTAATTTAAATTCAGCAACCTGTGTATGTTGAGTGAATTTCAGAAACCTGTTAAGAACACAGGTGCACCAGATGTTAATGGCTGTTAAGAACACAGGTGAACCTGTTAAGAACACCTGTGTATGTTGAGTGAAATTCAGCAACCTTTAATGAACAGGTAGAGGTGAAGAACACAGGTGCAGAATGTGAGCTCCATTGTCGATGTTAATGGCTGCACTTGAAATTTTTGATTTAACTCTCAGAGCAAAAAATTGAAATTTACTGGAATCAAATAGCTGGAATTGATGTAATTTACAAGAGAGTAGCTGTTATAATATTTAGTTTTTAAGTATTTTCATCAAATACATCAACTGATGGTTTAGGATTTGGGGGTATTTAGTTTTGATGGTTTGGCAAGTTCAAATAGCTGGAATCAGTAGTACAATTTTGGGCTTTGCAACTGAGAAGTCATATTGAATAGGCAAACAAGGCTTGTGAAAAAGAAATGGTGAAAAAGAAATACACTGTCAAGCACCTGTTATTGAATAGGCAAACACTAGGAATCCATCTTTTTGAGTGTTTTGGAAATGCAAGTGAAAAAGAAATTGTTTTAGCCTAATCACTTCAGATTGCATAGAAAAATATTGAGGAAATGGTGTAAACTTTAGTTGTTGTTGAGTTGCATCTGTGCTGCACAGCGTAGCGAATCCTTTTGAATTTCCAAAGCCCTAAGGCTGCAGGAAAGGCGAAACATGAAAGACCAAGAATCACCATTGAGTAACACAAAGAAGAGTTTGGCATCATAATCTGATTCTTATTTACAGGATTCCTAGTGTTTGTTTCCTTTCTTTCTTATCTATAGTAAAGTATAGTTGAATCATCATCTTCTACTAATAGGTAAATCAGCTTGAGAGATAAAAAAAAAAATAGGAAGAACGTCATCTTCTACTAATCGGTAGTTAAATCTGTTGCTATTTTTTATGCAGATAAAAAAATGGCTTCATCTTCTACTAATAATACAAACATAAGATTAAAGCCAAGGTTTTGTAATTGTAGAAGAACAACTTCCATACGTATAGTACGAACCAATGAGAATGGAAATGAAAGACGTGTCTATTTTGTTTGCCCAAGAAAATATGTAAGTACCTGTTATATAAATGAATCTGTTACTTTTTACAAATTTCATTTGTCCATTATTGATTAACTGATGCTTGTCCATTGTAGACTACAAACGAACATTGCAATTACTTCAGGTGGTTCACGGATGATGACGACGACGACATTACCTCCACAATCCGTGCCAATGCTGGACCTCGGACAGATTCAAGAACAGAAGAAATTAATGATCTAAGGAGAAGGCTTGGTGAGCATGATAGAAGGCTTCAAAGGATGGAGAAGATTTTCAAGGCAATGACTTATGTCATTGTATTTTGTGTATTTTTGTACTTTATCATGTAAATGACTCAGTTGTTAGGTTTTGGAACATGCTATGAATGTAATCTACTTTTCTACTTGTTTTGTAATTTTTTTTTTTTTTTGTGCTTAAAAATCTGATGGTTTGAAAAAACAAGTGTATAACAGGTTTGTTTGAAATGAAATGTATTGAATGAACAGTGTGTGAAATCTGTTGAATTATGTTGGTTGCTTAACAGTGTGCATTATATGTGATGGTTTGAAAAAACAGGTGTATTGATTAACAATGTGTTGACTTAACAAGTGTTTGACAGTATATCTTTTTGGACAATGGTTGAACAGGTTGAACAGGTTGAATAACAAGGTGTTCAATGAACAGCTTGAACAGCTTGAAGGTTGATTAACAGGTTCTTGAATGATTAACAGGTTCTTCAAGTTGAAGGTTGATTAACAGGTTAAAGGTTGAAATCTGATGCTATGAACTTGGCATGAAATCTGTTGATTAACAGGTTCTTGAATGATTAACAGGGTCTTGGAAAAATTTGTTGAACAGGTTGAATGCGTATAACAGGTTGAACAGATTGAACTTGACAATGTGTGAAATTTGTTGAATGAATAGGGGCATTTCTTAACAGTGTATATGATGGCATACTAATAACAGTGTATTGTTTGTGATGTTGAGCAATCTGTTCATGGTTTGCATTTATTAACAGGGTCATTTCTTAACAGTGTGTATGGTTTGCATTGTATGTGATGGTTTGCATTGCAAATGACTCAGGTTTGCATTGTAGGTAATGGTACACCACAAAGCATATGATATTTTCTCAAGACAACCAAATGAGTAAAATAATAAATAAATAAGTAAAATAGGCTAACGAGCTAGTGTTGATCAAAGGATATCTGTTATACATGCATCATTACTGTGATTCACAAATTAATAATTGAAACCAGATCCAGAAATTGATCATCAATGCCATAACATATGGGACATTCACTTCATTGAACTCAAACATATGGGACATTCAAGTGAACAATCGGAAGTTTACAAATGAAATTCACGTACAATTACCACTTCGAAACTAGAAAAAAAAAGAAGAGACATTTGGATCCTCGTTGATATTCAAGTTAACAAAACATGACGGTACTATCGATCTTTGACTGCTAATATTGTTGACCATTCCAGCTTCTTGGTGAGATGTTCTCCCAATGTCGTCCCCACTTGTGGTAACTGGTGCCTGTAAAAATAAAGTAAATAATAAAAAAAAATTCCACAAACATATTCAGGGAAAGGGTCTGCTATGGCATCCACATACAAAGTGCAATATATAAAGTCCGTTGAACACATATAAGGAAAGGGTCTGCTATGGCATCCATAGAAGGACGATAGTAATGTTGACTTGGCGGCACCTAATGATGAAATAGTAACACAAGTAAATTACTAATTTCAAGCAGTAAAATTAAAAGTCAAAATAAAAAACCCCAAACAACCTTCATATTTAACACGTACCGGTTCATACATAGTGTGTTACACGCCTCCCATACAAGGAAAGCTTAACTTACGAGGTTCACCTTGACGCACCTTCTTATTCTTTCCCTTCCCTTCAATCGATTGACTATTGCATCAATCTTGCTAACCTTCCGTTTCGTACATGGACGGCCTCTTCGGCAAGCAACCAAAGGACTTCGTATCTTGCAAGTCATGCTTTCTTTTGTAGTATTGATACGAGGCGGACTTTTTGATGAAGTATGGGAAGGTGGTAAAGTACTACTTGAAGGTGGTAAAGTACTACTTGAAGGTGGTAAAGTACTAGTACATGGCACATTACTTGCACTACTTGATTGAACTGTTCTCACTTCATCCTTGATTTTCATCAACCCAAGTTGAATCACTTTGTGTTTAGCATCATCATTGGTAGCAAGATCTAGGATCTCATCCAACGTGTTGTGATAGTTATCATGCAACTTTGGATGTAGAGAAGAGCCAAAGTTAGTATATGTGGTTGGAATGCACGTGTAGCCTCTTTCCAAGTCTTTTCTCCATCTCGAAACAATGCATTTAGTTGGCACCTCATATATGGATCTCTCAATGAGCACAGAAAGTGAATGTGCACACATAATACCTCTAAACTCAAACAATCGAGACATACAAAGGAGCTCACATTCAGTTGAATTAAAGTACACAACAAATTCCACTTTCTTCATCCCCTCACCCACAACAATAGCCTCCCTCACATGATAGGTACAAATTGCTCCCTCCTCTTTGATAAAATTTGTACGACAGTACACTAGACGCTTCATTTCTGCTTGAACTTCTTTAAATTTTGAATTAGTGCAAGCTGCACGAAATTACTTCTCAAAACGATACACCGTTAAGCAATCATACAATTTATTATGAGATTTAAAATCTGCTTTTGTCTCCTTCTCTACCTTACTTCTCAACGCATTGTCATATTGCTCAACAAATTGCTTCAAGGTTGTCTTGGAGTTCACATATCCATCAAAGAATGCATTCATACTCTCACTTCGTTGTGTAGTTAACATGCCAGCCCAAAATATGTCTTTAACATAGGCAGGAATCCAC